TTTTTTTTTTCAGTTCTCTCAGGCCAGACACACCACAGCCCTTTGAAACGCTCTGTGTCCCTTACCCCACCCATGAATGTGCCAAACCAACCCCTAGGACATGGATGGATGTCTCATGAGGACTTACGGGCTAGAGGACCCCAGTGCATCCCTTCCGATCATGCCCCCCTGTCTCCACAAAGCAGTGTAGCCTCTTCGGGAAGTGGTGGGAGTGAACATTTAGAAGATCAGCCTTCCGCTCGTAACACATTCCAGGAGGAAGGGAGTGGGATGAAAGGTGAGTGAAAAACCAGACGCCTTTTCCACCCCCCCCCTCCACCCTGTCGCAACCCAACCCGGCGCCCACAGAAAAGGCATTTTTGGGCTAAAGTCCTCGTAACCCAACAGGGCCTTTCGGCGTTTCATCCCGGCTTAGGGATTTCGGATCAGGGGAAGAAGTTAGGTTTTGTTTTAAGCAGCGTCTGGTCCTGATCTGATGTCTTACACTTGGGTGCTGGTGGGCTGGTTTTGCTCCAAAATCCTGCAAGCTGCCAGCTTTCCAAAAAGCTGGATTTTTTTCCATAGCCTGGGGCTTTTGGCTGCGAGTGGTGCTCTTTTCTCTTTCTTTTTATTTTTTATTAAGTGAAAAATAGCTTAGCATCAGTTTAGCAAGCCACGCGCGATTTACCGTTACGGTGTTTGGTACCCATCAAGTATTTGGGGAAGTTTTTGCTTAGGATGCTTCTTTGTAAGGAATTTATCCTGTGCATTTCTGTTGCTTTATCCACGACACCTGCGCTTCACAAAAACTCTTAGCAATGAGTGTGTGTGATCCTGTCGGTAAACAAGGCAGAAATGGAGCACTATTGCTGCAGGGAAAATGGAGAGCAAATGTCAGGTTGTAGAGGAATAAATAGGTAAAAAGCGGGCAAACACACAGACTGTCTATTTCTGTCAACAGATACAATGACTGAAAATGAACCTGCAGTTATCGGAGACTGATTTCAACAGCTGCAATTGTCATTAATGCGAAGCAACTCAGTTGTGTAACGGCCAATGATGTATTAGAATAATAATTGTATTTTTTAATTAGGCAAAAGGTCTGATTTTATTCTAATTGCAGACAAATCTAGATAATGTATGAATCTCTGAAATGCGTTTGACTTGGCGCTGTATGACTTTGATGTGCGTGAGGGGTTTCCAAGGCTTTCCGTGCCTGGAAGTCCCGCAGTCTGTCAGGCCAGGGAGACCCCTTTTTGGATGCCTTTCCTCAGGCCACCCCTGCCTGGGCATCTTCCTTCTGAAGTGGCCTCAAGTTGTGCCAGGGGAGGGTTAGATTGGATATTGTGAAAAATTTATTCACTGAAACAGTGGTCAAGCACTGGCAGGGGCTGCCCAGGGAGGTGATGAAGTCACCAACCCTGGAGGGGTTCAAGAAGTGGTGGATGTGGTGCTTGGGGACATGGTTTAGTGGCCATGGTGGGGTTGGGTTGGTGGTTGGACTTGATGATCTTAGAGGGCTTTTCCAACCTTAGTGACGCTGTGATTCTGTGATTCTCTTGAAGGTTTGCAAACGTCTAAACCTGATTCTTTCCAGTGCTATGTCAGCCACTTTGCTTTAGTCCCGCTGTCCCGGGATGTGCGAAACAGATGTCTGCAGCCCCACGGCTGTCGTGTCCTCCCCCTCTGCTGTATTTTCTTCAATCTGAACCAATCCAGTTTCTTCCTAGATGTTTTCTTCTAAACTTTGGGTTGTTCTTGCTTCGCTTCACTGACTTTTTCCCAAGAAGTCCATATTTTAATGAAGCTCTGTTGCCCAAAACTGGACGGGGGAGCAGAGCAGAGACTTGCTTGCTGTACAGAGCGCGTTCCTGTGGCTGTGTAGCTCGTCGTCCTCAAATAACACACCACCACGGGCTGTGCATGACCCATTGAAAAAAAAGTACTGCCTGTTCCCTGCCCTCATTTCGTGCCATTTGTTGTTCCTACAGAAACGCACAACTTTTTGTGCATTTTTATTGGGCTGCATCTCATTTCATCCAGACCGGTTGCTGCCTTTGCCAAGTCCCTTCTCTGAATTACAGCCACGTCTCCCCCAGCGCCTGCAGGCTCACGTGGCTTGGTGTCACCCGTCCCTCCAGTCACCTTCCTCCCTCTCTAACACCCTCTGGGGCACCCAGGAGGGTCGTGGGGAAACCAGGCCCATGACAGACCCCCATCTGATGTGTCTTAGCAGATCATCTCCCCTAATGTCACCTGTTTCACTCCTCTCCATCTGGCTTTTGGGTTTGGGTCGAGCTAGGGGTTTCTGTTGCAAGTACGTCCGTGGCTTTGCACAGTGTGCTGTAAGGGCACTTCTGAAGATGTCCTCTGTATATATTGGCATATATATAAATATATAAATATCCATCTATTAACATATATATGGCAGGGTGAATTGTTTTTCTTCTAAAAAGAACCTCTCTTTGAGAGAGGTTCTCCTCCTCCTCTACTCTGCCCTGGTGAGACTGCATCTGGAATATTGCATCCAGTTCTGGTCCCTCAGTTCAAGAAGGACAGGAACTGCTGGAGAGAGTCCAGCGCAGGGCTACAAAGATGATCAAGGGAGTGGAGCATCTCCCTTCTGAGGAGCGGCTGAGGGAGCTGGGGCTCTTTAGTTTGCAGAAGAGGAGACTGAGGGGAGACCTCATTCATGGTTATAAATATTTAAAGGGTGAGTGTCACGAGGATGGAGCCAGGCTCTTCTCGGTGACAAACAATGATAGGACAAGGGGTAACGGACACAAACTGGAACACAGGAGGTTCCACTGAAATTGGAGAAGAAACTTCTTCTCAGTGAGGGTGACAGAGCCCTGGCCCAGGCTGCCCAGAGAGGTTGTGGAGTCTCCTTCTCTGCAGACATTCAAAACCCGCCTGGACGCCTTCCTGTGCAACCTCATCTGGGTGTTCCTGCTCCGGCAGGGGGATTGGACTGGATGAGCTTTGGAGGTCCCTTCAAATCCCTCACGTTCTGGGATTCTGTGATTCTGTGTAAATTTCCATGCCAGCACCCATATACTGGGCCTGTACCGGCCAAAATCCAGCGTTCAATGCCTACGGGGGACAATGTACGTGAGCAGCATGAACATCCTCACTTTGCTGCTCGCCTCCGACGCAGCGTTTCTGACAGCCATGCCATGACTTCGCAATTAACTGCCGGTAATTGGTGATTAAAGAGTCGCTCGGCGGGAGGGCGGCTCGCTGCTCCGTGCGGATCGTTTGGAAATTTGACTTTCCAAGGACGATGAAATCGCCTGAGATGACCTTGCACCTCCTGGTTGCCTCTTCTTCATCCACCACAATAGCCCCGGGATTGCCATCGTAGCTCCCCAGAATTAGGAGGTGGTCCAGGGAGGATGATGCAAAGGGAAAAAAAGAGCTGCTCTGGCCCTCTGCAAAGGTTGGAGGTGGGGTTTTCTGCAGGGTTTGATGTCTACATGAAGTTGCGTCTCTCTTCTGAAAATATCCCTGATTTTTAACGTGTTGTCACTAAAACGGCGTGGTTTTGTGTTAAAATGAAGTTGAGATTGGAGCCTGCCAGCCCTGCGCTGGAAAGAGGGAGCTTTCTGCTAATAGCTTTTAATTCTTTTTAACAAAATATTGGTTTAGGAGGCCACTGGTAACAGGTTTTAGGACTGCTGCATGTCAGAAAATGGCAAAGCTTAGCCCATCCATGCTCAGTGTTTGCCCCCGTGTTTGGTGTGAGGTTGATCTCCTGTGCAGTGCTTAAAGAATTTGGAACGTGGATCCTGATGTGTCAGAGGATGGAGAGTATGAGCAGAACGCAGCATTTGGGGGCCATTTGCATCCTCTGCTTGGATGTGATGGGGTTTGGGGTCAGTGGGCAGCAGGAGATTTCTGGCAGATGTAAGAGTTGCCTATGGGGACCAAAGCAGTGGTCCCTCCTGGCCTGTCCCCTCAGCGACGAGGTGTTTTTGGGAAGAGCTGTGCACTGATCCTTGGTTTGCATCTGGCACTCAGCAGCATGGGGCTTTCTGGACAGAGACTGCCGACACCACGGGATGTCCCAGCAGTGGGAATGTCCTCCTTGCATCGTCTCATCCCTTTCCAAAGCAAATTTGGCCTCACCCTTTGTGGTCGGAGCAGCCTAGAAAACCTTTGAGATTGGCTGTGTTACTGAAGGGTGTTCATGGCACCTCCAATGGGCTGTCCGGGGAGGTGGTGGAGTCACCATCCCTGGAAGTGTTCAAAAAACGTGTAGATGTGGCACTTGGGGACATGGTTTAGTGGGCATGGTGTGTTGGGTTGACAGTTGGACTTGATGATCTTAGAGGTCTTTTCCAACCTTAATGATGTGATGATTCTTTGAAGGTTGTCCTTATGCTGGTGATGAGCAGAGCACCAACTCCTACAGCAGCCTGAGCCTGGCAGCAGAACCAAATAGTGGGTAGAAATCCCTCCCAAAAATGGTGCAAGTCCCTGTTCCTCCTCCCCCCTCAGTGTGCAGAGGAGCCCCATCGGGGAAGCCTCACCACCACCCATCACTTCTTCCCCTCGGGGTCTCCTGCACCATCAGCCCTGGGACGTGGGATCCACCATCCCCTTGACATATCCCCCTTACATTGACTTGGGAGTGATCAAAGAGAGAGGAGATGTTGCTGTTAATTTGTATTTAGCCCCAAAAGAGACATTTCCTGAGCCTCCACCTGCTCTCTCCATTCAAGGAGTGGGGTTTGGGGCAGAACCACTGGTTTTTTGTTGTTACTGTGTCCGGCGCGGGTGGAGGTGGAGCTCCTGGGTGTCTCTCTGGTGGGGATGGGGACAAGGACTAAGGGACAAGGGTGTCACTGGGAGCGGAGCGCGTGAGTGGTGGCTGAGGCAGAGCTATTGTTGGATTGTAGGTGCTAAATAAAGCAGGTCCCGATTTGGCACAGCGTTTGAAGCCTTTAGGATGCAAAGCAGAAGCGTCATTACGGGCACGGTGTTGTGCTGCAGCACAGATATCGGCAGGGATCGACCCCCTCCTTGTGGGGTGTCACCACAGGCCCCCAAACCTGTGAAAGCTCGAGTAGCTTCTGAGCAGGGTGTAGTGGAGGAGGCCCCTATCCCATTGCCTTCTCCATGGAGGATGCCCTGTCGTGGGGTCTGGTGGGGTTTTGCACGTTGCAGAGGAAGGATCCTCCTCCCAAACCCCTCCTTGTGAAACCACATTGATGTCAGGAGGACAGAATGATTTTTGGGCGCCCATCCAGCCGGGCACAGAGGTCCTGCACTGCAGATAATGAGTGGGAAGGAAGCAGTCATTTCAGTCGGTGCATTCTGAGGTCCCAAGTCACCCTTCTGAAACAGGTTGTGGCACCATTTGATGGCACATCATTTTTCCGTGCTCAAAAACAAAATCTCTTTATTTCTCTTTAAGCAGCCATTTAAATTTTCAGCACATACCATCTTCCCTCACGCCATAAATCAGTGTCTACCATCTGCAGATCAGCCATTTGCTCGTCCTAAGCTCCGCCACGCCGTGAGCTTTAGCGATCCCCACGTTCCTGGGAAAAGGGCAGCGAGGACCTTGGTGTGCAGCGGCACCACACCGGCTCCCCATGGGCTCATTCCTGGTGGTTCAGCTGCATAAACCCGTCCACTGAGGACGTGTCCTCATCGGGTGGCTGGTTCCTCCTACCATCCATATCCACAGCACCATGTCCTCATCGAAGGGCTGTTTCCTCCTACCACCCGTAACCACGGCTCTGTGTCCTCCAAAAGGTCCATGAAGTTGAGTGAGGTGCCTGAAACCCCAGTGGGGTGGTGGACAACAGCTCATCAACTCCTGGTGTTGCCGTTGATGCTGTTGCTGTTGCGTGCGGTTGAGCAGTGCCGTGACCTGAACGGGAGCTCTCATCTCCTTTCCTATGTCCTGCAGATGTCCCGGCCTGGCTGAAGAGCCTCCGGCTGCACAAGTACGCCGCCCTCTTCTCGCAGATGACGTACGAGGAGATGATGGCCCTCACCGAATGCCAGCTCGAGGCACAAGTACGTCCCACGTTGTCCTAAAGCCGCAGTCCCAACTCCTGTGCAGTCATTAGATGAGACACCTCCAGCATCCCTTGTGTCTTCACGTGGAAGGTGTTTTACCCACAGGTGGTTGGAAACCAAGCAGAGAAAGGAAAATTTGGTCTTGGGGAGTGAAGCGCCACGTTGTACCTGAAAAAGGCCTTGTCCCAGATTTCTTACTGAAGTCCCAGCATGAATGTCCCATCACTGGGAGCTGTGCTTGGGATTTTTTTCCAGTTGGGATTAGGTTCAGGAGTTTAAGGGTCACAGTCTGCAGTGCCCAACTCCTTTCAAGGGTTTTCGTGGCTGATTGCCTTGTTAACCTTGGAAAATGTCCCATATTTCAGGTTCACCTCTGTATTATCATGGGGACTGGTCAGCACCTTTGCTTTCACTGTCTGAGATGTGCTGGGGAGAGACAACTTGAGATCTCTGTCTTCAGGAAGTCTCTAAGTGATACTCTGTGTCTCCCACTAATCCCCATACTCAGAAATTTGATTAATTTAGAGCAGCCCTTTTCCTTTATGGGAGGAAGACTTTGGGTTGACCCAGCTGTCCCATGGCAATGCTAATGCCAGGTTTTGTGCTGTTTTTTTGCAGAACGTTACCAAAGGTGCAAGACACAAAATAGTCATCAGTATCCAAAAGCTAAAAGAAAGACAAAACCTGCTCAAATCTTTAGAAAGGGTAAGTAATCACAACCACTTCTGTATTTCTTCTTTTTCAGGAAGCCAGGAATGACTTCTGGGGTAGAGCACTCTTGGGTTGCACATGTTGTTGGGATCTTTTGCAGAGAAATCTGTTGTTGGCTTGACCACACCTGAACGATGTCTCCAACACTTCTGTACCAGATACGGGTTTTATTTGGGGCTGTATTTTGCAGAGTGGGTCTAACTGGGATGGATGTGCCTTGCAGCGCCAGTACAAGCCCTGGATGGCTCCAGGGTGCTCAGAAACAAACAATGATAGGACAAGAGGTAATGGGCACAAGCTGGAACACAGGAGGTTCCACTTCAATTGGAGAAGAAACTTCTTCTCAGTGAGGGTGACAGAGCACTGGCCCAGGCTGCCCAGAGAGGTTGTGGAGTCTCCTTCTCTGCAGACATTCAAAACCCGCCTGGACGCCTTCCTGTGTAACCTCATCTGGGTGTTCCTGCTCCGGCAGGGGGATTGGACTGGATGAGCTTTGGAGGTCCCTTCCAATCCCTAACGTTCTGGGATTCTGTGATTCTGTGAAACACCTGAGCTTCGAGTGATGGAGGGCACCGTCCCCGCGATGCTGATGGGTCACCCATCTGCTGAACTATGGTGCAGGACCACATCCTCTCTGCCGCTGGTTAACCCCTGGTTATCCCTTGGTCACTCAGTTAGCATCTCCCTTCCATGCATGGGGTCAGCATAGGGACCCCCAAGCCCTGTCCCTGTTTCCCCATCCCCAGAAAGAAACAGGATTTCCTGGTGTCTGTCAGGTCAAGGACCACTGCGCTTTTCCAGAGCATCCTATGGGCAAGCTGTCCCCAGATAAAAAGCCAGGCACCCACATCAGCGCCTGTAAAAGAGCTTGAATTTCCAAGGAGAAACAAATAGAAGCTTCTTTGTCCCTTCCACAAAAGCTTCAGCTCTGCAGCAGTGGCTCTTGGAGGAGTAGCAGCGCCGCAGACTTGCTGGGAGCAGCTCTTCCAACCTCTCGCTATTTATTACCGCAGTATTATATTATATTTAATTGCGCCGTCTTCAAACAGCAACTCGCAGAGCCTCCCACCAGGGGCTTTTAAATACTTCTGTGGTGTGTTGCTATTTATTGGTGTTTTCGTTAGCTCACTGCTTCACTATTTATTTATAATACGGGATTGTACTCGGAGTATGGCAGGAGCTAATAAAGCCATATTTACCTCCTTATATTAATAACAACTATTAAGTTATAAGCTCCGAAAGACAGCCTGCTGGATCAAGCTGGCCTGGGGATGTGTTTTCCTGGCGATAGCACGGCCTCTTCCCCCACTTCTCGGCCTAGGTTTCGAAATACGGGATCGATTGACTGTCACAGTGCGGGAGGGTGGGCCCAGTTCAGCTGACACCAGCAGGGAAAATAAGGAAAACAGGGAAAATAAGTGGCAGGGGCTGCTTTTGAGCCCCCGTGGGGTGGGTTTGGGCTGTGACCATGTCCCATTTCGGTGGGGCTGGGAGCTGCCTGGGAGCTGCATTTTTGGGAGGAGCCGTCTCTGCTTTTCCAGGCTTCCCGTCCAATTTTTTTATTATTTTTTTTTGCTAAACAAGAGCATGTGTGGGACTTGATTTTTTTGGGCAGTGTCACGCTGTGAAAGATTGCGGCTTTCATGGAAAGAGCTGCTCCACCCCTCTCCGCTGGTTTAGCAGAACAAGACTTTTTTCCCAAAATAATAGTGCCCAGCAGACTGATGCCACCTCTTCGAGAGAAGTGGAGCCAAGACACCCAGGAATGCAGAAAAAGGTGAACGACCATTTCAGTTCCTTAGCTGGTTTGCTCGCAGCCTGTGCGCCCACTCTGTGTCTTTGTACAACCAGGACTCACCCCAAAAGCTGCCTCTTCCTGAGCAGCCCACAGGCCAGACCGGACAGGAGCCTGCAATGAGCTGTGCTGGTCCAGACTATGTTAAAAACAAAATGCTGTTATTTCCCATTGGTTTTTCAATGTGGAAGGAGGATTTGAGCATGGAAAGGGATGATCCACACTCACAACTGAGAACAAGGCCAGGGGTGTACCCAAGTCCTCCCTCAGCATCTCCAACCTGAATATTTTTGCTATAGGGTTATAAATTCACCTTCAGCCTCGTGGTCTCCACTTCTGTGCCTGACACAGTCCCTGCAGGCTTTGCTGGGAGGTAACAGCAGGGGTCTGGTTCGTGGCTGATGTCTCGTTGTCCCAGCAGACACAAACCCTCTTCTCTTGAACCCGCAGGACATCCTGGAAGGTGGCAACTTGCGTGTCCCACTGCAGGAACTACACCAAATGATCCTCACCCCCATCAAAGCCTACTCTTCCCAAAACTCGAGCGCAGAGGAGCACGGCCGGGACGCGGACTCGCATCACCCCCCGTCCCTGCTCGGCTCGGACAGCCAAGGCTCCGACTGCAAGGACTCTGCCGCGGGGGGGATGCAGCAGCACCATTTGCCCGGATGCGAGGGCGAATCAGGGGGGGCCCCTTTGCCTGAAGGTGACCTGCCTGGACAGTTCACCAGAGTGATGGGGAAAGGTGAGGGCTGTCACTTGTCACTGGTGTCCTTGCTTTGGGACAGGGTGCCTGCACTGGCAGCGGCCGTTCCCAAGTCCCTGCAAGCCACGATCCTAGGGGTGATGATTTTTTGGGGCCCCATCATGCTGTGGTAAGAGATAAGAGCGTGGTGATCAGTGATTTAGATTAGACATTAGGAAGAAATGCTTTGCTTTAATTTAATTCTTTGCCTTTTAAGCCCAAATTTAGATGCAGGACATCTACAATACTTGGGTGCTGTTCTGTGCCTGGTGCAGGGCACACGGCTTTGCATCCGGATTAATGCGCTGGGAGGTGCACAGGAGCAATGGGGGGGAGAGACCGACCTCCTGTGCCATGTACAGGGCTTTTTGAGCAAATCTGTATGAGTTTGGATGTGTCCTGATCCCTGTCATTGGCATTTGAGGTGTGGGTGCTGGCTGCGTGAGATCTCCCTGGGGAAGAGACGAGGGTGGTCTCATCTGCGGTCTTGCACAGGAGACCAGGAACAGGAAGAAACTCATTGGGATGCCACAAAATACCAGGCTGGTCCCAGTTTCAGACCTTTTTTGCAAAAAAATAGGTACATGTGGCACCAGCCTGGCCAGGATGAGGTGTCCTGGACTGCCAGGCATCCCTGCCCAGGGGTTACAATGGGAGAGATTCATTTCTCTGTGAACTCATTTCCACTTGCTTTTACAGCATTAATTCCAAAAGAGGTCAAAATCCATCATAAAGGTGGGAATGCCTTTGCAGTGGGGGCAGATTTTGGCCGTAGGAGCAGAAGCGGTGCCTTTTTGGGGTGTTGTAATTAGGCAAAGGGAATAATCCTGCGCCCCTGACTCGCTCAGGTCTAATTTTGGTGACTCCAATGGTGGTGTCTGGATTTACACCAGCGTAACAGAGAACAAAATCTGGCCCTAAATATAGGGCAGCACAGCAGGAGATGGGGAAGGGGGTTTTTTCCTG